CTCTAGAGACTTTAAACCGAATACTATAACTACTATACTTCGGCTAGTTACTTATTAGAGCGACTTATTAAGTTCTACCTTTGCTCTTATATAAGAAGCTTTAGCTTTACGTAAGAGAATATTAAAACTTTTCTTAGTTTAACGAATATAAAACCTATAAATTAAACGAACGTTATAAAACTATTATATAAGAGATCGTTTAGTACTAATAATTATCGCGATATTATTCTAGCTTACTAAGTCTCGTCCTTACTATCTATATAGCTACTATATAGGTATAGGCTCCGGTTCTACTAGTACCTAGTCTAATAATATTATTAAATAAAGTCGACCTTTATATAGTAGGAGATATATAACGAGCTATATACTACTTCTATCGCGAGAGAGAAATAACGTTAACTTATACTAGGTATAATAGTATTTTTAAAATAGATACTATAACTTATATTCTATCTATAGCTCTCGATAATCTTATAGATATTTTCGTTAAGTATAAGGTTTAGGGCATTTTTAGCGTCGAGCTAATATATAGCTACTATATATTAGAAGAGGGCGACGTAATACTTAGTACGTAGCTCTAAGCTCTAGCTTATAGATACTAGAATAAAGCGACTAAAATAGTATTTATTAACTCTTTAAGAGTTTATAGTTATATATCTAAGCTCGTAGAAGTTAATAAGCTTATAGTATATAAGGTAGAGTAAGGATAGGTTACTAATTTACGTATTAAAAGCGTAGTATTCTTCTAAGAATTTACCGAATATCTAAGTACTACTAGGCTAGCCGACTTACTAGGACTCTAAGTACTTAGTAGAACTCCGATATATAGAGTAGAGTTTAACTTTAGTAATATTAGTATAGTTATACTTAATAAAGCTAATACGAAGTATAGGCCGGTTTCGTATACGACTAAATAGATATTTTCGGTCGATAAGAGTAGAACTATATCCTATAAAGAATACTATCTATACTCTAACTACTAAGAGACTTTATAAAGTATTTATAGACTCGAAGCTAGTCTAGAATTATAACGATCTAGCTAAGACTTTAAAATACTATATTATCTAGGTAAGTAAGACTATATTCTATATTTTATACTTAACTAATATATATTACGTAATTCTAGTAAGCCTCCGATTTATAATTACCTCTATTCGAGGCTATATCTATATACTTTAGTATCGTCCTCCGATACTAGAAATATATAAAATATAGAGTCTAACTAGTAGGATAGGAATAGATAATATATAATAGCTATTATA